TTGCCCCAAATCTGAATAAAAACACAAGGCTATAGCCTTGATGTTTGTAAAGAAATTCCTTAAATATCAGACTTTCTTTATTAAATGAACCATGTTGGGAATTTGAATCAAGTAAAAATGTCATTAACTCAGGGAGAGCTTATTTTAGCGTTGGTTTGAAGTGTAGTTACCTACACTCCACAGCATACTGTACTGCTTAACCACTTGCTGCCGGGTGGTTTGAAAAATACAGTGCACACAAACAGGACATTTTCAAGATTTTCAGTTTTCAAAATTCTTCACAAATTCATCATTTCAATTAATGGACGGTTACACCCACACGAATGACTGTCTGGTTCTACTCTTATCTGACAGACAAAATCTACTCGGACGCCCAATTATTTCAGCCAGGCCTGCAGCCTTGTAAAAAGAGCCTAGATTGTGTGGTGTTATGTAACCTTCTTTTGTTCACGAACCTGGCTCAGTGCACTGCTGACCTCTTTTCAATAGGGGCCAGATTAGCGTGCAGCGGTGCTGTGTGGCTCATCGCTGCTGTGGTAGAGTGCTTTTGTCCCCGGTGGTAATCCGCTTGCACTGAATGCCCCAAACCGTAGTATACTGTTTCAAAACAAGGCTGAATTATCGCCAGTATTGAGAGTGAAAAAATATTGGTAATTACCAGCAGCCTGGTCTTTTGTTCTGAGTACAGTCTTTTGTTACAAGGCCCAGTTCCCTTTGATTTTGGAGACCATGTCTGGTACCGGAAACCCCAGCGGCAAGTGGTTAACCTGATGCTGTACACTGTATCTAAATAGAACAAGAACATCAAAAGTGCATAGGAAACAGAAAAAAATACCAGAAACAGTAATGATTGCCCTCATGACACAAATGGTAAACTTTTTTGTTAAGAATATGCAAGAGAAATACACTGTACAAGACTTGTTTCAATGCAAATATAACACAAAGGAACCATCAAGTTATCACCAAAAAATCAAACCCAAACCCAATCAATCACTAGTTTTATGCCTTGCAAACTTCTTAACCTCGGCAAGTCCTATGTAATTCATTAAAATATAATTCTATCATTATCTTGATCAGTATAAAGCTGAGTTCATCTCAGATGCACACAAAATCTCATGGATGAAAGCTTTACAGTAACTGCCACTCAAAGTTTGTGTCGCTCACAAATTTTTAAAGTGCTGTGGGAAAAAAAGATACTGTATGTGTTTGTCAGCTGGAATGATGTATCATTAAACATGAATTTATTTTGGTACTTGACTATAATAAATAGATGCTTAGAGGCTAGATTGGGTTGGAAGCAACTTTTTCAAATGGCAAGGTGCGCAGAATTTGTGTGGATCAGTTTAATTATAAACATTCGAAGTACAGAAGGGAAAACTCACCTGATAAAGTTGCAAGTGTGAGCTTTTCAGCTGAAGTGAAGATGTTTGGAGACAAAGGCTGTGAGATTTGGTAACCATCCAGTTGTCGCAGCATTCACAAAGGAATCTTCCATATTTAGTGCTGAAAAGGAAATGAAATGAAATTTTACAAAGATTTTCACAAACAGAAACCTACAGTATCAACACTTCCATAATCTTGCCTGATTTAGCAAAAAGCAGTGTTCTCTTTCCTTATTACTGGGAATTGGGTCACAAGTGGATTACAAGTCAATTATTTTAAAGCCTTGTAATGAGACCTGATCACAATTCATTCTTTATTGCAGATTTTTGACCTGTGCAAAACAAGTGTAGAGAAGACCACATTTAATGATAGATTTATTCAGATTAACTGTATACTTTCTTCTTAGTACAGTCATTTGGCAAAGTTTAAGACCACCTGGAATTTTGTTTGTATTTGCCTCGATAGACTTGCATTATGATGGCTCATTTCATTATTACATCATATTTTTTCAGGGGTCCGTAATGTCAGAGTAGTGCTATGAGCTCATTTGAATGAAATTTTTCTTGCAAAGGCAGGTCCTGCATGACATTTTGTTTGCAAGGCAGCATGGGGGAAAAAAGCCAGTCTACATGCAAGTCATCAGAAATGGAGGATGGAATACTGAATATTAAACTTTAAACATTACACGTTAAATGGCTGTTTAACAATTAAGTGTAGTTAATTCAGTTCTAATGAAATCTAATATGACTTGATTACAACTCTCTCTTCATTTTCAGCCAATCCAAGGGAAATTACTTGAATATAGCAATATGGTGAATCAAATATTTGCCTAAAGTTTTTCACAAACATGCTAGCCTGATGATCTAGCTGAGAAAAAATCCCTAAAAAGCTTCAATGGGGATAAACATATGCATACACAGCCGCTGAAAATGTCACATTTGGGAAATAGAAAAAGACCAATGAAGTAGGAAGAACCTCCAGAGTTACAAGTACAGAATGGATTACTAACAATCAAATCTGAAAATGCCTTTGTCATTCTGCAATTGGATACAAACCACTCCCAAGTCAAGGGTCAACGCAATGCGTATATGTCATACTTTAGCAGAGCAAATGCTTCCTGGTAAATGACTGAGTATGCGTACACATACAAGGTACCAATGTTTTGTTATGTACATCTACACTGTTGTACATGGGCTGTGCAGAATCTTACTTCATTCAACTACTTGGAAAGAAAAATCATCCAGAAGAAAGTGTTGGAAAACCTTTTCAGAGAGGATTTGGCACAAGTGGTTAGCGTGACTGCACGGGTGAACACAACTGTACATGCACACAACCGTGGCTTTGCTTTGTGGCTCAGTCTTTGGTCTAACCACCTCAGTTAAAGACAAACTGTGAAAATACCTCTGAGGATTGTGAAAAGGTGGTTATCGTCCCATGGTGAGTGCCAAGTTTTTGATATGATAAGTCCATTTTACTGCAATCCAGGAGCAGGCCACAGTGTAACCTGAAATAAACGAATTGGATGGATAAAATGTCAAAATAAAATGTCATGAGTTTATAACACTTTTGGAATCATGCTACATGTACAAATGGTATATAGATCAATTTCTGTTTGACATTAAAATCCTCTATTATTGAAAAACGTACTCTCCAATGTCCACACTGCACCTCTCAATGGCTTAAATGTCTGAAATTTGCATAATGTTTGTACAATTTCAGATGTCCCAATGAATACAAAGTAATTATTTTCAACATCCCAAAAGACAGAGTGTAATCCTGTGTGTTTTTATTTTTCTGATGAAATCAGTTTGTACACTTCAAGAGGTTGGGTGCTGTGACTAAATTCACATTTCAATTCATGCTTTGTTTTGAATACATTTGGAAACTGCAGATAAAGATGGCGACCAGTGTGACTGCAGAGTCAGTTTGGAGTTCCATCATCCAGGGTCACCTGGAATGCTCCATCTGCCACACGCGTTACCAAGAACCCAAGATGTTGCATTGCTCACACAGCTTCTGCCTGAAATGCCTCCAAGAACTCAAGCAGAGCCAACATCCCAATAATGACAAGGTAACATGTCCACTGTGCAAGAGAGAAACCAACTTACCTGAAGGTGGAGTGGATAAGTTGAACACCAACTACACTCTAATTTCCCTGGTGGAGGAAGTCACAAAGCAGGAACAGCTCTTGAAATCTGAGAGGTCCATAGTGGTCATATGTCAATCATGTGATGAGGAGAATGAGGCAATGGCTCACTGCATGGATTGTGAGCATGATTTGTGTCAGGAGTGTCAAATGGCACATCAACGGTTGGCTGCTTTAAAACATCACACAATTACTCCAATTTCTGAGTTAAAGGAATCTGCCTCCAACACAGTGCATTGGAAGGATGACTCGAAGTGTAAAATCCATCCAAATAAAGAACTGTGCTTCTACTGCCATACTTGTGAAATGTTGATTTGTAAAGAGTGTACATCCTTAAGTCACAAGGACCCCACCCACATGTTTGTTGATTTGAAAGAAGCTGTTGACACCTGTCTACAGGATGCCCAAGAAAAAAGAGAGAACTACAGAGTAAATGCCCATATGAACATCGTGACTGGTTGGAAGTCATTAAGAGACAGACTAGGAATCATGCTAGAGGAAACAAATGATCTCATTTCCCAATTTGTAGAAAAGAAGACAAGGCAAATAAAACAAGAGGAAAAGCAACTCAAACAGATGGCTCAGGTAATATACAGAAAGAAAGCCAAAAAAATTGCTGAGATGGAGGTAGCAGAGCAGACGTTGAAGATGGTTGACAGAAAGATGACTGATGCAAAGCGCCGAAAAATCTTGAAGTTCAGGGAAGAACTCCTCCATGACTTAAAAGGTGTCAAAACAACTGAACAGTTATCTCGCCAACTCTCATTCATAAGTTTCAAAGAGAACAGTGTGGTTAACCTTGGAACTCTCCTGGAAGAAGAGCAGTGGCAATTGTTCAGCAAATCAGAGATCAAAGGGCACTTCATTGCAGCTTTCTCTACAGGTGACATGGTGATCGCCAACACACAAATGAACCAAATAACTAGACTTAGTCCTGATAGCAAGATTGTTCATGTGTTCAAAATAAATCCACACATTGCTATTGCCGTCAACAAGGATGACCATCTAATTGTCCTCTTTAATGAGGCTCAAGCTGAGATCAAGATTCTTAACAAGGAGTACAAGGTGCTAAATTGCTTCTTACCAGGTGAAGAGGCAGACATTGACAGCACACCAACATGTCTTGCTGTGGATGACAACAATCTGATAGCAGTGGGCTACAAGGACAAGGAACAAATCTCTCTCCACAACCCAGACGGATCCATCATCAGGACACTGCCTGCTCCAATGATTGACAGTTACATGACCATCAGCAACCAACAGATCATTTATACCAACAGCAACAAGAAACAGCTAATAAGTGTTGATTATGAAGGTAAAAAGAAGTTTCAAGTTAACATTAGAAATGTTAGTGATCCCAACTGTCCTTATGGGGTGTGCTGTGACAAAGCAGGTGATATCTACACAGTTGTATCTTTGAAATCTAGTTCATCACAACCAACCCACTGCAGAGCTGGTACTTGGTACTATGACAGCGAGTATTACTCTTACAAAGCTGCAGTTGACTGCTACAGCCCAAATGGTAAACTTCTCCGATCTATCTCCACAGACGAGATGGCAAACAATTCAAGAGAAATCATGTACACTCCTGATGGAAAACTAGTCACGACTGGTGAAGAGTCTACAGTAACATATCACAGAGTGTGAACTTGAACAGTCATGGTGAGGGTGATTTGGGGTATTCAAGCAGCCTACTTTATGACAACCTCTTCCCCCACAATTCAGTGGATACAGCAGCAAACCATTGCAGCTAATAGCAAGGCTTGTCCTCACATTTGCCAATGAAAAGCAGGAACAACTTAAAAATGTCTTGCAATTCTACTCACAAATATGACAGCAAATACATATACACCCAAAATTTGTAAAATAAAGAAAAGAAAAACACAAATCCAAAAAAAAAGAAGGAAAGATTCTGAGCAATTATGGGTTCATCTTAATAAACAGTAGGGTAGCAAATGAACCACACAGCTATAAAAACATTAGAGTATACTCATCTGGATGCATTTCTACTTGCAGATGAATACCAAACTGTAAACAAGTTTTTGGGAAAATATAAAGTTATCTTTTATGAAAGTGATTTTTTGACATAATTTATGCTTTGAGCTGCATATTTGTTATCTTTGCCTTTTCTTTTAGGATGTTGAACATTCCGAGTATTCAGTTGGCGATCAAAAAAAAAAAATCAAAGATTTTAACAAAGATTTCACCCCAGAAGTGATGCAATATACAGCATTCAAATTCATAAAAGATGTCTGGTGCATTATATGACGTCATGTTTTGATGAAGATTTTGGTGTTTGCATGTAAAATGAATAAGAATAAACACACAAAGAATGATTGTATGGTGACATTTCTTCCATTTTTAACATTGCTATTCAATACCAAGTTTCTTTCTGCTGCACGTACAGCAAGAAGAGCCATTGTATGACAGGACGTTAGTGCTAACTGAGGCTGGGGAAGTGGAGAGAATTTTATTTGGAAATTCTTAACGACTTTGCCTGTTGGTTTGGGGATGGTGTAAAATAATACTGCTTTGTTAATTTGAAAATTGAAAAACATTTTCTGCAAAGTGAATATGTAAGCCAATGGTGTAAATACCAAGCCGAAAGTCATTTTAAAATTCTGTTTCAAAAGGTACAGAAGGTTTATCAGCATTTATTCTTTGAAATGTTTCAACATCACATCCATTTTTATGGATGTATATCATGTTTTTTTTCTCAAATGAATTACATAAATTAACTGTCTGAAAATCTTTTTTCTCATGGTATGACTTCAAGTCTTTGCTTCTAATATTTAATTAATCATCAAAGGTTTACAATTCTCATGTCTAACAATTTACAAAATATGTCGGTAGAATTAACCCAAGTTGAAAAGACACTCCTACACTTCTATTTTGCATGATAGAAAGTGGTCACGGTAGAAATGTTTTGTTTAAATAGCTTATGTATTGTTGTAGTATATCATTGATTTGGATTGACTGTAACAAGCGCTAGTGTAGAGAACGGACTTGATTGGG